ACACACACACACACACACACACACACACACACACACACACACACACAAACCTGCCCAGAACTGTTCTTTTTCAGACACCAAGCAGAGCCACATGTTTGGCAGAGATTCACCGTTGTTATTTATATTACATTAGCGCCTACAGGGCTCCCAATCAGTGGGTTTGTCATCTGGCTCAGGTGCTGATTTAATTAAAAGGCTTCCCAGCTTCTTTAGCTTTCTAAAAACAAAACTTTAGAGTACAAGTCCACAGCAATTGCAGACTTTCTTTGTAAGCACACGACAGCCAGGGGTTTTCAAAGATGTGGCTTTTATACTTTATAGACTATCAGCTGGAAATTTTGAGAAACCCAAGGGTGCCCAGACGAACTTGCACATAAAGATGTGGCTTAAAGCAAATAAAATTCACATGTTTGGAATGAAAAGGATCAGTTGCAAAATGTAATAAAAATGTCAGAATAGAGATGGCAGGTACTGAACATCCCACAAGACATAAAAACTCTCATGGAGTTGAACCTTCGTTTATTTCCTTCATGTTTAAGGGTAAGTGTGTGTGTAGAGAGCGAGCGAGAACAATCAACAGTTGTTGGCTGCAACTGTGTGGCAGCTGGTGGGGCTTTTTGAACTCCTGTTGGATGCCATCCTTCTAAACCTGATCTTCTCAGGGTGCCTGAAACAGGGAGCCTGCGGGGGAAGTGAAGCAGAAAGCAAAGAAAAGATATGAATTGAGAGGAATGGTGAAGTCTCCGGTCCTGGAGCTTAAAAGCCCCCTTCGCTCCCATCCTGAGGTGTGATTGAGTTACGTTCAGAAAAAAAGATCCCACTAATTCTGCTGTATGGACTTTCAGAACCAAATGTCCCCTCTATGCTCAGGCTGGAGCAGTTTTTGAGAGCTCCCCTTTCTCCCCTCCCTTTTGGCTGGACAGGAGGTCAGCTGTGCCCCTGGAAAGGCCTCTGTTGGGAGGACCTAGAGGTCTGTTCCTCCATCCTGCATGCAAATCCTCTTCCTCAAGAGCCTCAAGATGGAAACGGACTCCAGGTAGGTGACAATTCCTTCTGGCTGAAGAAGAAGAAGAAACGGACCTATTGGACCCATCCAATCTTTGCATGTCAATGAGAGTTTGTGTGCAATATACAATGGCTTTGGGCCTCATGATGGAAGGCAGGGAAACCAACGCATGTAAAGTCTACCTCCGGTTGCCAGGCCAACTTCTGAGACCAAAGCAGAGGTCCACAGCAATGGTGCTTATGCGCTCTCTGGCACCAGAAACAGCCCTACAAAGAACATAGAGGCCACGATCTCCATCCACGGCTCCCATTAATTTCATGGACCGCTTTAATATTGCACCGCCGGTTGATGCCGAAAGGAAGTCAATAGTGCTAGAATTTGGGGAACATGAAGACGATATAGAGGAAAAAGGAGACTTACCGTTAAGCCACCGGGAATCGTGCTGCTCAGTCCGGATCGGGTGGTGGTGCCCCAAAGTGCGGAAGATGGCAAAGTCTCTCCCCATGAAGTCTGCCGCTGTTCCCGAGTAGAGCTCGCCATCTGCAACGTTTCATGGAATTGCACCAGGTCAGAGTCAGCAAAGGAGGGAAAAAGAGGCTCTTCTCGGGCGCTTCCCACTGAAAACCTCCGCCGGGGGTGGTGGAGGGGAAGCACCGGTCTAGCTAGAGAGGCACAAGCCCCTCTGGAAAGGGAGAAAGGGACTCTGCCATGTCCGGCTTTACTTACAAATACTCACATTTATAGAGCAGAGAATGCATATTAATATGTATATTTATATTAGTGTAGCAAGCTAATGGCTACATCCTCTTTGCCTCCTCCCACAAAGCAAAGAGGGAAAACAAACTGGAAGCGGAGTTGGTTCATTTTGTTTTGACCTTTGAGCATTAAAGAGGGGATAGAGTAGGGTAGTGTCTCTGTGTGTGTGTGTGCTTTCACGACGTACACTGTGAAGTGAATTGACTGCCTATTGAAGTCCAAGTAGTCAGTTTTCATGGCCATAATGAATGGCCTGGACAGCATTGGAGGTGCTTTGGGTGAACCAACCAGCACATGAACTCCAAGAGATGCTCATGTTTTCCATGCCAGTTTTAGAGGCTGGTGTGGCTGCCGTGCCTGAACAAGAGGCCGTCTCCTGGCTGGTTCAGTTTTCAGATAGTCTGCAAAATCCTATGAGAGGAGACGACACGATGATACAACGGGAAGAACAAGGAGGTCAAAGGCAGACAGAAGGCAGGATGATCAAACTGAGTCTGCATCAGCTCCCAATTCATCCTTTTGGTTTCTTTATCTGCCACTTGATGTTTTCAGAAGGAGAGACCGTCCCTTCATTGTAGCCCTCGTTAAGTGTGGCGCTCCAGCAAACACCTCCGAGGCCTTTCTTGGCCTTGACTTCACTTTGCCTCCATTCGCTCGTCAGCCTCTCTCTCTCTCTCTCTCAAGAGGTTTGGGACAAATCAATATAAATCAAGGGAAAGTCAAGAAGATTGCTTTTATCACAGAGCTGTCAAAAGTGGGGGAAAGGTCACTCGTGTGTGTGTGTGTGTGTGTGTGTGTGTGTGTATGTGTGTGTGTGTGTAAAACTATCCTGCACAATCTTGGGCTGTTTTATTTTCTCTACCATCTGAGCAGGGTTTTCAAGGGCTCTCTGGCCATGGAAGGGGACAACTTGCCTGTGTATATCTGTCTGTCTGTCTGTCTGTCTGTCTGTCTGTCTGTCTGTCTGTCTCCCTTTGGCATCCTTTCTTCAAAGGTTCTGTTCCTCCATTTCTTTGGTATGAGGGTAACTCTCGTCCCATGGCGAGTTGGCCGTGGCGAGGGCTGGGCTGGGCTGGGCTGGGGAGTTTGAAGGCGTTGGTCCCCCTCATTTGCAGGCAGCAACCGGATTCAGCAGAGGGAGGCAGCTTCACTGGGGCCTCTGGGTGGTTCATTGGCTTCGTTAGCTATGGGGGAGGCAGGGAAAGGGGCAGCCAGATTCCAGGAGGGTGGACTTCAACTCCCAGGCTGGGGAATTCTGGGAATCCTGTTGACTGGAGGACCTCCAGAGTAGGAAATCTTCTCAGTCTCTGTCTTCCCTTTTTATACACTTTTATGGGGCTCAAAAGTCCCAAACGGTGCCTGACTCAGCCAAGATCCCAACCGGATCGTTACTATGGATCTTTGTTTCCAATAATCCGAATGAATAGCTGGAAAGAAATGAAAAGCAGCCCCCTTTCTGCTACTTTTGTAGCAGAAAGAGTTTCAACATTATATTCTATAGTCTATTCGAGTTCTGGCCTGAGTTCCCTATAGATAACAGATAATCAGAGTTGGAAGGGACCTTGTAGGTCATCTAGTCCAACCCCTGCCCAAGCAGGAGACCCTACACCATTTCTGACAGATGGCAGCCCAGTCTCTTCTTGAAAGTCTCAAGCAATGGCGCTCCCACCACTTCTGAAGGCAGCTTCTGTTCCATGGGTGGATTGTTCTCCCTGTCAGAAAATTCCTCCTTATTTCCAGGTTGAATCTCTCCTTGTTCAGTTTCCATCCATTATTCCTTGTCTGGCCTACAGGCGCTTTAGAAAAATTCCCCTGCCCCTGTGGCTGGATTGGAGCATTTTAAAGGTTTTATTGGAAAATGCAAACAGAGACATTGGCATGCAAACAGTAGTGGTGCCTTTCCACAGCCCATCAATAATAAATGGCAGCTAAACAAGGCCTCCTAGCCATTTATTTCTCATCCCAAACTGGGGGTTTTATAGCACGGTTGAAATGAATGAAAATCAGTTGCAACTGCACCGAGGAACAGATATTTTGAATTAAATAAAAGCACTACAATTGCACTAATTATAACATATTTTTAAAAATACGTCTGCTCATTATATATTTTGAAAAGACTGCAGGGAACAGATCAGCGATTGACTTCTCATGAACTTAAAAGCAAATAAATCTCTGCTGAAGCCCATCCAGCTGTTCCCTGAGACACGCAGACATGCCAAAGGGAGGCGTTGATAATCAAAGTGGGATTTTAATTAACTTCAAAATGTATCCCCAGATTACTGACTGGAGAATTCTGGCACTTGAACTCCAGACGTCTTCAAGGTTGAGGAGGCAAGCTATTTGTTAAGATTCATCATCTTTGCCTCTTTCTCATAACTCTTTGCCTTTTTTAAAACGAGGGAAATATTTCCAGATTTTTAAAAAAAATCAAAGCAGAAGGCCAGGCAACCACACTGCCGTATAAGTGTAAGTGCAGATGAAAAGCTAAACTCTGTGTACTTCACATGGCAAGGTGCCATAATGGGCTTTGTGCTGATTTTGCCATCCTATTTTTTGTTCAAAGTCAATCTTGCCTGAGAAACCACACCACAAATCTTTGCTGCTCCAGGCGCTCAATTATACACCTGTCTTTAAAGGAGTTTCTCCCTCCTACCTTGAGTAAATCCAAGCTGCAAGTTAATGCAAAGGGAAGGGCTGTATTTTAAAAAGCTCCCTCTGGGTAGTTCCCAGAAATCATTTAACCTTCTGAACGAAGGCAATCTGCTCCACACTTCCCCAGTGTCGTTTTTAAAAGCATGAAGGATTTGTTAAGACACAGAATTATTTCCTTTTCTTAAGTGCCACATTAAAAAAAAAAGCAAGCCTGAAATCCTTTTCATCTTTCAAATAACATCTGGAGGAGAGATACTTCAACTTTCCTCCTGATGCTTAAATAACATTCAACTATGAATCATTTCTGAATTTCCTGTGCCTTCATGGTAACCTCGTACCGGTTGGCAGTGGGCGCTCTCTTCCCACTTCCCTCTTAGAGGCTCCAGATCACAGCCGGCCTTTCCAGCATGGAGGCAGTCAAGATCCTTACAGAGAGAAAGGAAACCCAAGGAGGCGCACGGCCTTAGGTCAGCCTGTGAAAAGCAACTTTCTGTTCGCCATTGTGAGCAGGGAGTTGGCTGACAGGCAGTCCTTGGCTCATGGCAACAATTTCCCTTGTTAAGTGATGCAATCCTAAAGCACGAGCACATCATTTGGCATTGTTTAGTGACGGCAGTTCCTGCAATCTTGGTTGCTGTTCTTAATCGAATCCCAGGGTTGTCAGGTAAGGCCTCCCGAATGACTTGCCTGCCGAAGTTGTGGGTGCTCCAACACTGGAGGAAGAGATTGGGCAAGGGATTGAAATGGTAGAGGGTCTCTGAGCAGGGGGCTGGACTAGAAGACCTCCAACTCTGTTTTTCTGCTATTCTGAGGCAACAGCCTGCCAGCTCCCCAGAACCAAAGACAGTGGGAGGCCGGCAGGAGCTTGCAAGTCGCAGGTGGTTTGCAAGCAAGCTGCCAAGGAAGCAAGAGGCCACGGAGGGGCGGCAAAGGGCACCCCTGTGTTCTTGTCTCAGCAATGGTAAGGACCGATCCAGTTCAAGGCGGAAGACTTCCTGAAGGCTCCCATCCAAGCACCAACCAGCTCTGATCCTGCTTAGCTTTTCAAGATCAGCCAACTTTGAAGAGGGGCTGCCACGTAGGTGGGCTTAGAAGAAAACAGCCATGATGAACTAAAGTGAAGCTCTAGGCTGGGAACCAGCAGGGTGAAGTTGAACTTCCAAGCCCAGGTTTCTGATTGACAGGGTAGCTTAGTGCTCTCTGTTACTGTGAAGTTGGAGGCAGCTGTGAGGGAGCCAAAGAGGATGTGACGTAGCTGGCAGTTAGTATTGGAGCCTCCAGCATGGTTTTCTCCCATAAGTTAGCTTTTGCTTTCATTGAACGGGGCCCTGTACTTGGGATACACTAGGGCTATACCTGTAAACACTGTGTTGCCTAAAAGGCCCTTTGGGAGGTGCAAAGCTCTGCAGGATGGCTGCTCACACTCTAGTTCAAACAGAGGATAACATTTGCACCCCATGATAAGAAACACACGCTCATCTGCAGAAACCACCGATTGCTGTGGTGGGGCATGTTTTAATTGGCAGCACAGGGCAGCTGAGGAATACGGCAGCCCAGCTCTCCCTGGGAGGCTCTAAGTCCAGGAAACAGACCCTTATTCAGAACCTGCCTAAGATCCTCCCTTCTCCTTGCCGTTTTTATCCACTTCCATCAAAAGGCACTTGAGTATGGATGTGGTCTCTAGGCCAGGGGTCTCCAACCTTGGTAGCTGGCTGAGGAACTCTGGGAGTTGAAGTCCACAAGTTTTAAAGTGGCCAAGGTTGGAGACCCCTGCTCCAGGCACCCATTTATTCTCCAATACATGCATGTAGCAGAAAGGCATTTACTTCTCTTTTTTTTAACCCAACCTCAGATCTTGAAGGGGCTGTGAATGATCTGGTTTGTCTTCAGACACTGGATGTAAATCAAACTCATTTGTCCCTGTTCCAAAATCTGAAATCTGAATCAGATCAGAGCTGTCTTGCACCAACTGGGCCCAATAATTTGAAGGAACAGAGGTAGAAGTTTTGGTTTGTGAGTGTGTGTGTGTTTAAAACTACTTTATTCTACTTACCTATTAAAAGAGAAGCTGTCAGAAGTTTGGGGTCATAAGGGCTTTTTCCTCTGCCATTTTCAAAATGTGAATCTTCCAGCTTGAAAATGTTGTCCTGTTGAGAAGAAGGGAGAAGCAAATAATTGAGCTTAGCAGACTGATTACTGGAGATGTATAACTTATAAAAACATTTGTGCATTTATTTTTAATCCACCAGATAGCTATTGTTATTTTTCTTTCTTATTCTTTCTTTCTCATTTGATGTATAATGTACTAGATAACAAAGCAAACATGACTTCATAAAACTTGGTGAATTGCTTTCGGTGACATCTTTCTATTCCTTTTTAATTCTCTGTGAAACCTAAGTCTCTTTTCTTGCGTGTTTCTGCGAAGTGTTTTTTAAGTTTCTGTGAAGCAACCCTTCTTATATTGCTTTCATCATCAGTTAGGTTTGATGTGTCTTCAAACTCTATTTAGAGACTTTTCAATATCTACACAATTGCGCTAATGTGTCTATATCAGAAACGCATGTCTTTATTTCAAGGCCAATCCTGCTTTTGAGACCCAGGGTTGGGCGATGGAAAAGAAAAGTGAGCGGGAACTGGGGAGCCACTTTGGATCCCCTCAGAGCAGCCTACCTCATATGGTTGATGTGAGGGGTAGAAAAGGAAAGGAAATCCCCTTTTCAACTCACCAATTTTTACAAACAAATTTGAAGACACTCAGGGGGCACAACTCCAATAATGTGAAATGCCAAGATCCTCTTTGGGGCAAGGCGTGACTGAAGATGATTGAAGGCATGAAGAGGACGCAACAAGAGAGGAATGGGACCAAAACCTGGGGAAGTCCGAGTCCCCCTCTTGCAGGTGTGACCCTGTCACACCTCCATCCCTACTTTCCACTGTCACAAGGCAAGAGGGACGCCGGGATGGGGAATGAAGAGAAGAGCAGCAAAGAAGGCGAGGGGCTTGGAGGTGAATCCTATGAAGGCGAGAGGGAAGAATTGGCCATGTTTATATTAAAGAAGGCACAAAGTCAGCCTTTCCGTCCTTACAGGGCAGAGCCAGTGGATTCATTCTCCCAGCATTTATAGAGAGAGATCCACACTCAAAATAAGGAGGAATACAGAAAAATATTTTTGCATACAGAAAAAATAGATCTACAGAGGATGCTATAGCCACCACTCTTCACACTGCTCTGACTCATCTAGAACAGCAGGGGGGGGGGGGCTATGGGAGGATGGTTTTTGTGGATTTTTAGTTCTGCGTTTAACACAATTCTTCCACGCAGACTAGTGTCTAAACTTCTGGACCTTGGACTTTCTAATTTAATCTGCCTTTGGATTATGGATTTCCTGTCTGGCCACTCACAGAGGGTCAGATTAGGTAATGATACCTCTTCAGCCCTTATTCTTAACACTGGTACACCACAGGGTTGCGTGTTGAGTCCCTTACTCTATATTCTTTATGTGCACAACTGCATTCCCACTCACGCTAGTAATACTATTGCTAAATTTGCAGATGATACAACAGTGGTGGGACTCATCTCCGGGGGGGATGAGTCTGCCTACTGAGATGAAGTGAACTGGTTGCTTTCGTGGTGTGGAGACAATAACTTGGTCCTCAACACCAATAAGACCAAGGAGCTTATAGTGGACTATGGAAGGAGCAGTTCAGACATCTAGTCCTTGCTTATCCATGGAGACCGAGTGGAGCAAGTGGCCTGTTTTAAGTTTCTAGGTGTTACTATAAAAGAGGACCTGGCCTGGGGGGGCTCACATTGCAGCCCTGGTCAAAAGGGCCCATATACTACCTGAGACTTCTCAGAAAACAGCACCTGAATGAAAAACTGCTGGTGACCTTCTACTGCTGCACCATAGAGAGTATCTTAACTTGCTGCACCTGTGTAGGGTTTGCCAATTGCACAGTGGCAGATAGGACAGCATTCCAGAGAGTTAATGTCATTGCCTAGAGGATCCTGGGTTGCCCTCTCCCCTCTTTGGAAGAGATTTATAGCCCTCAATGCCTTAAGAAAGTTCAAAACATCCTCAAAGATCCATATCTCATCCTGGGCACCCTTTTTTTGGAACTATTACCATCTCGCAGACGGTACAGAATATTAAAAACAAGGACAAGTAGGCTGAAAAACAGCTTCTATCACAGGGCAGTAGCTCTTTTGAATTCTGCTGTATAGTGCAGTGTTGGTGTGGTGTTGGGATTGAATGTGTGGAGGGTGAAGGATGTGTGTTGCTAAATTTGGAGACCTCTGGTCTAGACTTAGGAGGATCTCCAAACATGTTTATGAAGTATCTAACAAAATGAAATTCAATGTAGAGAAAAGTAAAGTCCTACACTTAGGCAAGAAAAACCCAAAGGACACCTATAGACTGGGTGAAACCAGGCTCAATAGCAGGAACTGTGAGAGGGGTCTTGGAGTGTTAGTGGGCAACCAGCTAAATAGGAGCCAGCCGTGTGCAGCCGCCGCCAAAAAAGCTAATGCAATCCTAAATTGCATTAACAGAGGGATACAATCAAGATCAAGGGAGGTACTAATACTGCTCTATAAAGCCTTAGTAAGACCACACCTAGAGTCCTGCATCCAGTTCTGTTCACCACATTACAAAAAAGATGTTGAGACTCTAGAAAAAGTGCAGAGAAGAGCAACCAGGATGATGAGGGGACTGGAGACTAAAACATATGAAGAACGATTACAGGAACTGGGCCTGGCTAGTCTAGGGAAGAGAAAGACCAGGGGAAACAGGAGAGCATCTTCCAATATTTGAGGGAGGGGCTGCCCCAGAGAGGAGAAGCTATTTTCCAAGGGACTCAAAGGCCAGACAAGGAATAATGGATGGAAACTGAACAAGGAGAAGTTCAACCTGGAAATAAGGAGAAACTTTCTGACAGACAGAACAATCAACCAACGGAATAGAAGTTGCCTTGTGGGAGCTTCATCACTGGAGGCTTTTAAGAAGAGATTGGACTGACATCTGTCAGAAATGGTGTAGGGTCTCCCGCTTGGGCGGGGGGTTGGACTAGATGACCTACAAGGTCCCTTCCAACTCTGATTATGTGTAGAAGTAAACATCTAAGAAACAAAAAAGCGGGGAAGGCACACATAGAATCCATGGGCCAAAATAAAAGGGCCAGATTAAAGAAATTTGAATGAGAAGAACCAACCAAAGGATCTGGGACACCTTAAAGAGCCAAGGAACATAAGGGTGGGACACAAAATACATCCATCGAGAGAAAAGCCTCAGATTAAAGGTTACAGGATGAAAAGAAACCAAACCAAACTAACAAAGCCTCTTTTAAAATCTCAAAGACTAGCAAAACTATTTTGGTTCAATGATTTTGTGGATTAGAATCAACTTCAATAGATGAATCAAGTGCTTTGCTAAATTACAGCATAATTTTATATATCTATGTGGTTAGGGGCAAAGGATTTGCAATATTATTCATTTTCCTTCTCATTCCTGTTTAAGGATGATCTTAAAATGTATTATTCTCTTTTCTTCCTTAAGACACATTTGGTAAAATCACAGGACACCCCTGGGACTGTGGTCTATTTCAGGCCAGAGATAATAGATTGCGTTTTTGAATATTTCCTAGAAAAACAAGTTGGAATGAGTTACTAAAAGCTCTCTTGTATGCATTTTTCCTCTCTTTCTCTCTGTATGTAAAAGATAAAAAAGAGGTGGGGGAAGCAAGGAAAAACGCAATGATGTCATCACAAAAATGGTAGAACTTTTATACTTGACAACTTTATCAGAAGTCATGACACAAATACACCACTGCACAATCTGGATGATAATGTCACAATGCACAACTTGTCACTGAGGCATTATCATTTTTAGCTATACACACCCACACACCCCTACACACACACCACACACACACACACCACTCACACTGATTTGAGCAGCAGAATCTGAGCTTTTGGCTGCTGGAAGGGAAAGCAAAAGTTGGTAAGTTTGTTAGTAAAGAAAATATTTAGAGGAACAAAGAGGCACAAAGGTACAAACTTGCCTTATATTGTATCATCCCATTGGTTTATCTTACTCAACTTTCCCTAACTTGATATTCTACAAAGTAGTTGAAACTATATCTCCCGGAATTCCCAGCCAACTGGGTCGGACAATCTTTTACCCCTGACATCCACACTCTTTAAGTTATAGCCTTAGTGCTACCGTTCTTAATCACTGTCATCAATACAATGGTTCCCATTTTTCTTCTTCTGGAATAACCTTATGCCTTTCCCTTCCTTCCTTCCATACCATCAACCAATCTTTAAGACCTGATGCTTATCATTCAGCACATAGTCAACATCCAACTTTATTTGATTAATAGCAACTTTATTTTTAAAGTTTTATATTTACCAACTGTATCTAACAGGGTTGAAGCAGCTGAAAGATCAGATGAAGTTCTAGTCAAAATTAAGAAAAATCAATGTTCTTTGAATTCTTCATGGGTCAGGCCACACCTATGGTATTAGATCCAGGAGACCACAGCATGACCTGATCACTGTCTTCAAGCAAAGGGCTGGACTGTGTTATGTAGAAATAATGTGGAGTTTCCCCAGAAGATGGAAGAAGGAAGAATGGAGTTAAATTACAAGGGTTTCAGTTTATCTGAAGCTGTAACACTAAGAGTAATGGAGCTGCCTTGAGAGGCAATGGAGGGATTGAAAGACAGACCATAGGACCAGCTGCAGTAACATCTTCCTACATTGGTCCCAGGATTGGACTCCCAGGTCCTTAGAAGGAGCCTCTCCGATACTTCCATATCACAGTTCTGCGAAATTCTGAACTACCTTTCCTGCTCACTCAGAAACTGTAACCTATTTTATATGCTACCTATTTTCTGGAATACAAGAATATGGTTTCTAGTCTTGTTCAGCCCTGTCTCAATGAGAGCCTCACCACTGCACACACATGGATTTAATTTTGTAGTAAAATCTAGAAAAGAGTTTTTGTAGTTTAGTCAATTGCTCCTAGGGTAGTAAACTGAACACGATTACTTGACTAAGAGGCAGGATGCCCTAAGTAGAAAACGTGGCTTATCTCCACTTGATAAGCCATTGAAATCGGGTGAGAACAATGATAGCTGGCACCCC